ATATTTTGATAAAACAAAAAAAATTCTATATGAAATATAATTAAACAATTCATACAAAAATCTTCTTCTTTATCAAGCTTTTTTAGATTTCACTTCCTCATGCACATTTTTTCCCAAAAAAAAAAAAAAGAAAAAAGCATGAGGTGAAAAATTTTTTAAATGATAAAAATAAATAATGGATAAAAGAGTTATAATAGTGTTATAAATGATGATGAATGAAGTTCTAATCATATGTTTTTGTTCTTCATAAAAATTAAGCATCTATTCATCTTCACATTTATTAAGAAGAGTGGATAAGAACAGAGAGAGGGAGAAAGAGAGGCGACTGTAAGTAGGGTAGGAGGGAAGAATAGGAGAAGGGAGAAAGAGAGGTGACTATGAGTAGGGTAGGGGGGAAGAACAAGAGAAATAGAGAAAGAGAGAAAGAGAGAAAGAGAGAGAGAGAGAGAGAGAGGCGATTGTGAGTAGGCTAGGAGGGAAGAATCGGAGAAGGGAGAAAGAGAGAAAGAGAGAAAGGGAGAGAAGGAAATGGCGGGCTTTTAAATAATGATGGAGGAAGAAGGGATTGAGCTTGGGAAACAAAAAAGAGGCGGGAAACTTCTTTGAAGATTTAAGAATGTAGATTTAAGAATGTCGGTTGATTAAGGTAACTGATTAGTCCAAGTCACATAGATCAGACTAAAGCACAGGTAATTTTAGTCCATGTCAACATCTTGACATGTACTTGCTAACATTATTAATGAAACTAAGTGGAAGGAAGATGAGGAAAGCCAAAAGACTTGTTCAAAGAAGAAGGTAGTTGCAGAGTTTATGTTCTGGAGCTTCTGATTTAATGTTTCCTGAATAAGTGCTCTTCGGGTTTGAAGTTCTTGTTATGGCTGGGATTGTCTTGTCTAAAATTGTCAGCCTTCTCTTGTCTTTATTATGCTTTGTAATTTTGTCTTTCTTTATTGTAAAATACATTTGAAGGTTCAAGCTTTAATCTTTCTGTATTAATGTACTTCCTTAAGCCAGTTGGTATCAAACTGGAAGCGAAGGTATGTCAAGTTTCATTCTTTACAGTTTTGTTCTTGAGATTCCCATTAGCAAAGTCATAAAAATTCTTGCTTTACATTTTCGAGCTGAACGGAAAGTTTGAATTTTGAGATGGGATTTTAATGGAATCATTTCATAATCGTGGAATCTGGACTTTGGGATATAACTGTAATTGTAAAATTGGGAGGGCAAGTCCTATGATTTCGGTTTCAATCCGTCTCTTCCACTTGGTCACTTGCTTTCAGCAACATCTTCTTCCCACAACAAACAGAACCCAACAGAAGTAGCCTCCCTTCGGCGAGATGAAGGGACATTATCAGCATCACAGACTCGACTCACTTTCACCTCTTTAATCAATACACATTTCCAATAGGATTGGGAAAGGGAATACAATTTTGGGTTTTTTTTTTTTTTTTGTTTAACGTTTTTAACATTTTCCTTCAACTATAACTATTGTGGGGGTTATGGAACCTGAATCCGCTGTCTTCAATCGACCTCTTTCGTGCAAGACAATCGAAATTTGAAATGCTCAATAAAATTTCAATCCACAAGTAATCGCTTCCCATGTCGTGTAGTCTCCAATTGTTTCAATCCATCCATTTTTGGTGGAATTTACAGTTTGAGATTGCGGAGACCTGGCATTGTTGGCGATAGAGCTGATCTGGATTGTTAAGTGAAGAAAACAATGATCTGGGCGGTGACCGATGTGAGGTTTTAGGCCTGGATTTGAAGCCTCTGAAGATTTTGTTGAAGCAAGGAATCTTTATTTGGGCAATGCTTTGTTGTCTTTTGGTTTTTGCGTGCAAGAGAGTGCTTGTAGTGTAGGGAGTGGTGAATGCAGGGTACGGAGTGATTGAGCAGTGGGCGTTGTTGTTGAGGAATGCCTGACCTAAGGTTTCTACGGTTCTTAAGATTTTCAAAGAGCAAGGTGTGATTCTGATTGCACTTTTAGGTATATCTGCATTCTTTTCAATGGTAGAGACTCCTATAACGACACTGTGGCCATGGAGGGTTTGCTTTCTTTGTGTGAAGATTGATGGTTCTTATAATTAGTGAATAGCAATTGAAATCTAAATTTTAGGATAGAAACATTAAAAAAGTTAAATATATGAAGTTGAAGAACTTTCAGAGTTATTCATTGTTAATGTTTTAGTAACTTTTATGGTTTAGATAAATATATGAAGTTTGTTGTTGTTGTGCAATGACATTTGTTGACTTAAATATTGGGTTAAGTTTACCAAAGATTAATTTGATATGTTATTTCAAATCTTGATTGTGAAGTTCATGCAGCAGTATTACTGTTGTCTTGTGTTGGTTTGGATGATGATGCTGGTTCCTTTTATGTTCATGTGGTTCATATTAACTCATGGAAGAACAAGGATTTTTTTTTTTCTAATGTCACCAAGCCATCGGGAAACTTTGGTCTCATTGGTGATTTGATGCTAATTTGTGTGAGGTCCGTAAGTTGGCTACAAAAGAGTATAAAGATGGTGTATTTCGAATGCTTCATAGTGTTGTAACCTAGTTTTTTACCACCATTCTTATTGGCACTACGTACTAGTCTTTCCCATCATCACTTAACTAATCCAATTCTGTGTGTCTGTGTTTAACTTTGGTGTGTGATTTATTTTTAGATTCTGTCTTTGTCACTAGGGTGGTCAATATTAGAGTAACTGCTTTAGCTACAAACACAACAACAACAATATTTGGAGAAACTGGTGTTAGTGTAGCAACTGGAGTGATGACTGTATGTATATAAAAATTCTATCCTCTTTATGTGCCCGACATGCCGAACCTCCTTGCTTGCCTCTATTCGTGCTCGTATGTAGCTCATTGTGAATTTGTAGCAAGGTTTTAAAAACCGGATTGGATCGGCCGGTTGAATCGGTTGGACCAATACTCGATAGAAGAAACGGCTCGGGTGAATATTTCGAACCGTTTAAGCTATTGAACTGCTTAAAACCACTCATACCGTTCAAACCGATAAGAACCAGTAACCCGTCAAACCGACCGAGTCAACTCTTGGGGACAAAACTCTCCTACATTTGTCTCCACTGGGTTTCAAACACCGGGTCTCATGAAGCGGTAGTAAGTCACTTGCCACTTGGCCGCCCCGCCTCTTGTGAAATAAGTTGCAAAGAAAATCCTTTAAAGAATGTTAAAAAGTATTCGTGCCACTTGATCTGATTCAAGTATTTTGTCAAGTTATGCACTAAGATATATTTATGGTAGAATTACATAAATTGAACAACCCAATTTTTTAACTAGTTGAACCAATTGAACCAATAAAACCGTGAACCAAAGGTCAAAATGGTTTGACCTCTGGTTCGGTTTTGAAAACATTGATTTGTAGTAAATTAGAGTAAAAGGCTTAAATTTGTTTTAGGATAAATCTTTTTAAGTTAGCTCTTCAGTTGTAGAGTTCGTTGTTACAAAGTTTTGTATTTCCTTTGTAAACAATAAAAGAAGAATGAATAAGAAATCATGTCGGGTAACTCTAATAGACTGCAGAATAATCCAAAGGTGGGTGGTGTGGTTATTTGTCATTCTTTTTCCTTTTTCCCTCTACCTCTATGACAATGTGAAGGTGGTAATGGTAAATGAGCTGGATCTTTTGTGACCATAGGGCCTTTGAGTTCGACATTTGGTATTTTAGGTGGCTCTAGGGCTTTCTGTGACATAGATACTTGCATTTCAACTCTTGCACGCTGGTCATTCCTTATTTTGTTTGTTTTATTTTATTTTTTGATATTGTGGGCATCCAAACCTCTGTGCACCAATCATTCTTTATACAATAGATTAATTTGCATATATTTCTCTCTATTGGATTTTTTGCGTGGTAAAAAAGGGGTTTGAGAGAGGACTTGGAGGAGAAGGAGAGGGACACCATGGATTTACCTCATTGGGTGAGGTTGGAACCCTTTTTTTTTTTTTTTTTCATTCATCTTCTGCCATTATATAGTAGAAACCTCATAATACATAAATATTAATTTCTACTTAATACAAGAAACTCTATCAAACATTTACTGCAAGATTACATTTAAAGATTTGCTGGCATTTTGTGCGGCTCCATGTTGCTGTGACTTTGCAGCCACTTTGCAGCCTTTCGTTTGCATTTGCATTTCATCAACATTTGCAGCTTAGCTTGCTGCACTTTGCTACTACCATGCTGTTGGTGCAGCTCTCCCTTTTCATTTGCTGCCACTTGTGCAGCTTTGACACCACAACTCCAACACTCCTTCTTTGTGTTAAAAGCTATGGAAAAAAAGAAATTTACCTAAGCATTTGGAATCTGCCATTTGCAGCTCTTTATGCTTTGGTTTTGATTTGTTGTTGCTGCTAAAGCCATCTCCTTTGGCAGATCCGCTCCTCCTTTAATGCTGCAGCTTCATCTTGCTTAGATTTGTTGCTTTAACAAAATTTTAGAGCTTTGCTGAGCCTTCCCGTAAGTTGCTCAGTTTTCTTCTTTTAATCTACAGCTTCCTTAGGGTCACAAATCATATTCACCTTTATGGTGAACATGACTTGATGCATGCCCTGAGTTTTCTTCCTTTCTCAGGCTGCACCCTTCACAGACATATGCCTTCATCACTTGTTGAGTGATTTGGCTAAAAAATGGAAGAGGGCAATTTTGTAATCCACCCAGCAAAAACCGAATTCTGGAACATTTTCTACAGAGATTGGCCCAACCCTAAAGAATTATGTTTAATTTATGTAATATGTTTCTTTTGAGTAGCATGCTGTTTTGTTACATTAGATAAAGAACTTATTTAATTTATTAAATTCACGTTTCTTTGTATTTTGTATTATTGTCTTGCTTTCAATGTAGCTTGTTAAGTGTATGCAAGTGGAGTTCCTAAGTTCCTCAGTAGTAAGCTTCATCATAGATCACGTGCTAAGTGGTAAGAAGTAAAACATTTCGAAAAAAAAGGAAAAAGGGAAACAACACAGTAGCTAAGTCAATCAAAGGAGTTCTATTTTTCTTGTGGGACATAGAAAAGCTCGATGAAAATACTAAATGCTTGGACCTTGGAAATTTCATCAAGGTACAGACAATTCAAGTTCTCATCAACAATAGCCACAATGTAAGCAATAAACAAAAAGGAAAATCCATAACTACCAACCAAATTGACATGTCACAGAGGAATGGAAAAATGAAAATGCTTGTCACAAGATGAATATAGTGATCCTCTTGTGGCAGAAACCTTATTAAAAAGAGAAAAATACTTACATGGTTTGAAACAAAAATTTGAACAGGTCCAGCTTCTGTAAAGAATCCCATCTGTAGGAATCCCAAATGCAGTTATCAGTAAAACAGTAGAAATCCGTGGTTCATAAGATAAACTTATCATTAAGTCAGGAGAGTAGCAAGTAGAAAACAGTTACCTTGTTGACCATAGTCACAATAGCTTCTAAGATCTCGCCTTTAAATGGTCTAAAGACAACACATTGATACTTCACAGGGAATGTTACAAATCCTGTACGGCGATCACCTCAAACGACGGCGGAGCCAGGCTTAGCTCACTTTGTGGAGAAAGGAGACGAGAAAGACAGTTGGTCTGGGTTTTACATCTATACCTTAAAGAAGCGCTTAAATTAAACCCTCATTTTCCAACCCCCAACTTTTGGGCAAAAAACTAGTTTTAGCCCCTTACCTTATTAAATTTGAATATTTTAACATTTCATCTTATATTATGACATTTTTAACCTCTTATTTTACCAACTTTATAGATTTTAACCCCTCACCTATTAAAATTAAAGAAAATAGCCCTTACTTTATGCTGACTATTAATTTTGTTAGCTAAAAATTAGTTTTTGTCAACTAACAGTCAACTAATAGTCAGATAATAGAATTAATGAAATATTATAAAATTAATTTTGTTAATTATGTTAGATAAAAGAAGATTTTTTTTAATTAACAGTCAATTAATAGTCAGTTAATAAAGTTAACAGTCAGCTAACAAATTTAACAAAATACTATTAAATGAGGGCTATTTTCTTCAATTTTAATAGATGAGAAGCTAAAACCTACATATCTAGTAAGGTGAGAAGTTAAAACTGTCATAGTATAAAATAAAGAGTTAAAACATTCAAACTTGACAAGATGAGAAGCTAAAGCTAGGCTTTTGCCCAACTTTTGTGCAATACGCCATTACCATTTGGTCTTTTTCGCTTGTGAAATCTCCTTTTTAGCCTTTACTCTTTTATTTTCAAAAGAGGCCGCTGTGTGATTGCTTATTTTATTTTTTACTGTAAATATTATTTGGAGAGGGGGTGGAAATGTAATAGGATTGTGTGTAAATATTTTGCTGACTTGAAAATTTTAAGAATAAAGTTAAATCTATTTGGTCTTTCAAGTAAAATACTCTTTAAAACTAGATAATATTTGTGCCTTAACAATAATATTATAATAAAGGAGAATGATGCGTACACCCACCGGTTCAACACCGGTGGGTGCACATAATATTAATTAAAAGCTTTTTTTTGTATAAATCAAATAAATATAAGGATAAAATTACAAATTTAACCTTCCTCCTCTTTTTCTTCCATCATCCTCTAATCAACATTTTTTACCCATCATCTCCCACCTTCATCACCAATCATTCTTCTTCATCATCAATCACCCATCTCTAATCTTCATCACCTTCATCACCTTCATCACCGATCATTCTTCTTCTTTCCCTGACCTCTTTCTTTCTTCTTCTTCTTTTTTTTTTCTCTCTCGGTGGAGAACCCAGCTTGGGTTCTCACCAAAGAAATTCTGATTTTTTTTTTTTTGGATGGATGGATTTGGTGCAATGCTTGACTTTTGCTGGGATTTTGTTGTTGAATGTGCTTGAATGCTTGAATTTTGCTGGGATTTGGTTGTTGAATGTGCTTGAATGCTTGAGTTTTGTTGGGATTTGTTATGTGGGAAATAGATTAAGTGAGAAGGGTAAATTTGTAATTTTACTGTTTAAACCAATTTAGGTGTAAAAATGGGTGTTGGTTCATGGGTGTCCGTATCATTGTCCTATAATAAAATAAGGACATTTTTTAATTTTTCTAAATATTATATTATTTTTTAGATTTTTTAATGTTTTTCAAGTTTGAGAATACTATTAAAGTGTATTAATGAAATGAAGTTACTAAAATGACATGAATGAAATAACATAAGAAGAGTTTTGTTAAATATATTTTAAGAAATTTATATATTAAATTGCACAGTTTATTTTTATAATTAATTTATAAATAAAGATTACAAAGCTAAGTGTTCTATAAATAGAACATGTTACTTTGCTCAAATAAGAAAGTTCCTCTGCATTATTCACTTTCATACACCATTTTATTTTTTTTAAATATTCTTAGGTAAAAAAATGTGTCTTGAATTAGGTTATTTTATAAATAATACAGATTTATAGAATATTATTATAAAATTGTAGTATTATAGGATGGCACACTATGTATATTTTTCTACTACACTAGTAGATCTCCTACCTGCAGAGGTGTGAAATGTCTAACCTAAAGCACATAAGGTTTTTATTTTGATGATATTTTTTTATTGATACTTCCTTAATAGATGTCACGCCCCAGAACCCGAATTCGAGGCGCGACAGACGCCGTGCACTCGTGAGAGGGTCCCACAAATGCACAAGGCTCGGAACTTATCCAAATCACAAACTCTATTCTCGCAAAATTTGTCTTAATACCATAAAATTTAAGGTACAATCTATCTTCCAGGAATGATAATCTATTCCATAAGTCTATGTCCAACATGACTTAAACTCAAAATAATGAATCTAACCTACAAGGACAATCTAGACTCGAAATCTATACCCAATTGCAATAGCTAGCCAATTTGCTCGTCACTCCCCTTGATTTCCGTGTCTCGGGTCATACTACCTGAAATGGTGGACAAGGGAAAACTATGAGATACAATATCTCAATAAGTAAATGTATGGATAGCCCGTGAGTAAAATTTGAGCATTTCAGATAAACAGTTTAAACATAAACGAAATGTTCAATGATAAACCATTATGCAGAATAAAGTTCAGTAGCAGTCAATTAAACTTATAGCATGCCAACAATATAATAAAAACGGATACAGTACGGGAAAGAAATAGACGTCTCCTCTATAGGTCATGGCCAGTGTATTAAACTTCCCACTGGCAGGCTACACTATTTGCTGGTGTTTAACCCCCACTAGCAGGGTCATTCGGACGAACCGGTTCTATCAATAACATGTCGACATGTGCTAGCGTTTAACCCCCACTATCAGGATTACAATAACATATCGACATGTGCCGACATGTGCTAGCGTTTAACTCCCACTAGCAGGATTACAGAAACATGACCACATCGGAGACAAAACAGGCTGAAGTTAACAGAAAAACATAATTCACCTATCACTTTCAGATCATCAGGACAATCAATTAAACTTTCAAGTAGGCATGCTCAATTCAATGAAAAGCATAAAATTTCACTTCAAATCAGTCATGTTCGTGTAAAACGGGTTTAGTCCCGCCACCACTTCAAAAACAAGTCAAAACATGCTTTTAAAAACTGTGTGGGCATTACCATAAATTTACTTACCTCACTCGCATAAAATCGAGCACTTAATCTCAGTGCTAACTGACAGAACGATCGGGAACCTAATCAAAACACCTCAGAATTAATACCAGACTATCACAAATTTAAACTGAAATCATCATTAAGATCACTCCTAATCTCGATGCTATTCCTATCAATCTCCACATGATCAAATATCTCCAAATTCGTTCTTATATCACAAACTAATCATTTAAATCCCCGTTAATTATTGACTCTCGGTGTGTGAACAGTGTCCCGTGAACAGTAACCACGACGTGAACAGTAACTCCGACTTTCATAAATTGGCCAAAACACTAGCTAATTCACGGGATTTTCTCTCCAAAATCACCACAACCCAATTCAAGCTAATTTACACTTAAACCAAGCTTAAAAACATAACTTAATCTACCAAAATTTTCCCATTTCTCACGGCAGCACAGGGAGAGCATAACTTTGGCAAATCACAATTCACACACACGGGATTTTCA